ACTCCATGGACTGCAGCATGCCAGGCCTCCCTGTCCATCACCAACTCCCGGAGCCTACCCAAACTCATGTCCACTGAGTTGGTGATGCCATCCAACCATCTCATCCTCTCGTCCCCTTCTCCCACCTTCAGTCTTTCCCAGCATTATGGTCTTTTCCAATGAGTCAGTTCTTCACATCAGGTGGCCAAAGTATTGGAGTTTCAGTTTCAACATCAGTCCTTCCAATGAATACTCAGGACTGATTTCCTTTAGGATGGACTGGTTGGATCTTCTTGCAGTCCAAGGGATGCTCAAGAGTCTTTTCCAACACCACAGTTCAAAAACATCAATTCTTCAGCACTCAGCTTTCTTTATAGTGCAACTCTCACATCCATACATGACCACTGGAAAAACCATAGCCTTGACCAGACAGACCTTTGTTGGCAAAGTAATGTCTTTGCTTTTTACTATGCTGTCTAGGTTGGTCATAACTTTTCTTCCAAGGAGTGTCTTTTATTTTTTTTCCATTAAGGAGTGTCTTTTAATTTCATGGCTGCAGTCACCATCTGCAGTGATTTTGGAGACCAGAAAAATAAAGTCAGCCACTGTTTCCCATCTATTTGCCATGAAGTGATGGGACCTGATGCCATGATCTTAGTTTTCTGAATGTTGAGCTTTAAGCCAACTTTTTCGATCTCCTCTTTCACGTTCATCAAGAGGCTCTTTAGCTCTTCTTTGCTTTCTGCCATAAGGGTGGTATTATCTCCATATCTGAGGTTATTGATATTTCTCCCGGCACTCAATTCCAGCTTGTGCTTCATCCAGCCCAGCGTTTCTCATGATGTACTCTGCATAGAAGTTAAATAAGCAGGATGACAATATACAGCCTTGACATACTCCTTTCCCTATTTGGAACCAGTCTGTTGTTCCATGTCCAGTTCTAACTGTTGCTTCCTGACCTGCATACAGATGTCTCAAGAGGCAGGTCAGGTGGTCTGGTATTCCCATCTCTTTCAGAGTTTTCCAGTTTGTGGTGATCCACACAGTCAAAGGCTTTGGCATTGTCAATAAAGCAGAAATAGATGTTTTTCTGGAACTCTCTTGCTTTTTCGATGATCCAATGGAGGTTGGCAATTTGATCTCTGGTTCCTCTGCCTTTTCTAAAACCAGCTTGAACATCTGGAAGTTCACGGTTCACGTACTGTTGAAGCCTGGCTTGGAGAATTTTGAGCATTACTTTACTACCATGAGATGAATGCAATTGTTTGGTAGTTTGAGCATTCTTTGGCATTGCCTTTCTTTGGGAGCGGCTATAAGGGGATACCCCACGTCCAATGTCAGGAGCTGCACTGGAGCAGTCATGAGGAGAAACCCCAGCAAGATGGTAGGAAGGGTGAATTCATGTTTAGAACCAAACCTCATTCCTGTTAGCGATGCTCAGGGTGCTCAAACAAACCTCGTGCACACCAGGACCCAGGGACCCCACAGAGACTGAGCAGAACTGTGTTTGGGCATCTCCTGTGGATGTACAGGTCAGCAGTGGACTTCCACAGGGACAGAGGCTCTGGGTGCAGCACACTTGGGTATGGCATAAGCCCTCTTGGAGGAGGTTGCCATTAACTGCACCATAGAGCTGCCAGAACTTAGACAGGACTAAGAAATAGACTCTTGGAGGGCACAAACAGAACCTTGTGTGCACCAGGACCTAGGAGAAAGGAGTAGTGACCCCAGAAGAGACTGACCCCAACTTGCCTAGGAGTGTCCAGGAGTCTCCAGAGGCAGCGTGGGTCAGTGGTGGCCTGCTGCAGGGGTGGGGGCAGTGAGTATAGCAGTGCATGCATGGCATCTTTGAAGGCCACCATTATCTTCATGACCTCCACCATAGTTTGGCCCCAGGTTAAGTAGCAGGGAGGGAACACAGCTCCACCCATCAACAGAAAATTGGATTAAAGATTTACTGAGCATGGCCCTGCCCATCAGAACAAGATCCAGTTCCCCCCTCAGTCTCTCTCTCCCATCAGGAAGCTTCCATAAGCCTCTTATCCTTCTCCATCAGAAGGCAGACAGACTGAAAACCACAATCACAGAAAACTAACCAATCTGATCACAAGAACCACAGCTGTCTAACTCAATGAAACTATGAGCCATGCTGGGTAGGGCCACCCAAGACAGATGGGTCATGGTGGAGAGTTCTGACAAAATGTGGTCCACTGGAGAAGGGAATGGCAAACCACTTAAGTATTCTTGCCTTGAGAACACCATGAACAGTATGAAAAGGCAAAAAGATAGGACACTGAAAGATTAACTCCCCAGTTCAGTAGGGGCCCAAGATGCTACTGATCAGTGAAGTAACTCCCAGAAAGAATGACAAGACTGAGCCAAAGCAAAACCACCACCCAGTTGTGGATTTGACTGGTGATAAAAGCAAGGTCTGATGCTGTAGAGTAATATTGCATAGGAACCTGGAAAGTTAGGTTTATCAGTTGAGTTCAGTTCAGTTCAGTCACTCAATCGTGTCCGACTCTTTGTGACCCCATGAATCCCAGCACGCCAGGCCTCCATATCCATCACCAACTCCCAGAGTTTACTCAAACTCATGTCCATCCATAAATAAAGGCAAATTGGAAGTGGTCAAACAGGAGATGGCAAGAGTGAACATCAACATTTTAGGAATCAGTGAACTAAAATGCACTGGAATGGGTGAATTTAATGCAAATGACCACTATTATCTACTACTGTGGGCAAGAATCCCTTAGAAATGGAGCAGCCATCAGTCAACAAGAGTCCAAACTGCAGTACTTGGATGCAATCTTAAGAACGACAGTATGATGTTTCCAAGGGAAACCATTCAATATCATGGTAATCCAAGTCTATGCCCTGAGCAGCAATGCTGAAGAAGCTGAAGTTGAACCTATGAAGACCTACAAGACCTTCTAGGACCAACACCCAACAAAGATGTCCTTTTCATTATAAGGGACTGGAATGCAAAAGTGGAAGAAACACCTGGAATAACAGGCAAATTTGGCCTTGGAGTGCACAGTGAAGCAGGGCACGGGCTAATAGTTTCTCCAAGAGAATGCACTGGTTATAGCAAACACCCTCTTCCAACACAAAAGACCCTCCACACGGATATCACCAGCTGGTCAATACTGAAATCAGATTGATTATACTCTTTGCAGCCAAAGATGAAGCTCTATACAGTCAGCAAAAACAAGGTGGGGAGTTGACTGTGGCTCAGATCATGAACTCCATATCACCAAATTCAGACTTAAAGTAGGGAAAAACCACTAGACCTCTCAGGTATGACCTAAATCAAATCCCTTACGATTATACAGTGGAAGTGAGAAAAAGATTCAAGGGATTAGATCTGATAGAGTGCCTGATGAACTATGGACAGAGGTTCGTGACATTGTACAGGAGACAGGGATCAAGACCATCCCTAAGAAAAAGAAATGCAAAAAAGCAAAATGGCTGTCTGAGGAGGCCTTACAAATAGCTGTGAAGAATTAAAAAGCAAAGGAGAAAAGGAAAGATATACCCATTTGAATGCAGAGTTCCAAAGAATAGCAAGGAGAGAGAAGAAAGCCTTCCTCAGTGATCAAAGAAAGAGAGGAAAACAATAGAATGGGAAAGACTAGGGATTTCTTCAAGAAGATATACCAAGGGAACATTTCACACAAGATGGGCTCAATAAAGGACAGAAATGGTATGGACCGAAGAAGCAGAAGATATTAAGAAGAGGAAGCAAGAATACACAGAACTATACAAAATAGATCTTCATGACCCAGATAATCACAATGGTATGATCATTCCCCTAGTCAGACATCCTGGAGTGTGAAGTGAAGTGGGCCTTAGTATGCACCACTATGAACAAGCTAGCGGAGGTGATGGAATTCCAGTTGAACTATTTCAAATCCTTAAACATGCTGTGAAAGTGCTGCACTCAATATGCCAGCAAATTTGGAAAACTCAGCAGTGGCTACAGGACTGGAAAAGGTCAGTTTTCATTCCAATCCCAAAGACTTCCGTTTACGTCCTCCCACGATAGAATGCAATGGGACAGTTCTACATACCTTGTTAACCCAAAACAATCTGCTTATAGAGCTTCATTTATTGACCTTATTTACATCAAAAAGTTAATTTTTCAGCGGACACTCAAATTTACAGAAAACTGTGGTCAGAAAAAGAGTCAGTTTTATGGAGATTTTTTTCTTTATTGAGAAACTTAAGACTTGGGTACATCAAATAAAACCAATTTCTGGGGGAAAAAAATCAAAACCCACAATAGAAAAAAAAAGTTAACACTGTCTGGGCCATATCAGAGCCCAGAGAATATATTCTTTAAATTGAAAAATTCTAGGTGCTTCATAATTGACCTTTTGATACAAAATGACCTATTAAATTTGCAATTGCTGTTCTTGGTGTTGAGGTCCATAGGACAAGCTAGGAAGTCTTCAAACCTTGAGCTGAATTCCATGAGGGTTTATTTGGCTTTTGAATCCTGAAAAGAAAAGCACCAACACAATACATAATCAAAAAAACCTCAGACTCACAGAAATCTCTTATAGAAGTACTGCAGAGTAGGGTTTCTCAGCCTTGATGCCCACTGACATTCTGGCCCAGATAATTCTGTTGGGGATATTCCTGTGTATTTTAGGTTGTTTAGCAGCATCCCTGCCCTCTACTCAACTAGATACCAGTAACACATTCCCAGCTGTGACAACCAAAATATCTCCAAATGTCCTCTGAGGAGGCACCCCTGGTTAAGAGCCAGTGACTCTGCGGCTACTGCATGGGAAGCCCCACCCCCGACCTTTCCCAGACATCCCCACTTCAACTCCAAATGACAGGGCTCAGGCCGTGAACACGGGGCTAGGTCAAGCCCTACCAACACTCCAGCCCTGGCCCTTACCATGTGCCCTTTTCCTCTGCCTCTGCCCATGTTTATCTTTCAGGGGGGTATTCAGGAATTAAAATCATTGCAGAAAAGAAAAACAGCCAAACATACGGTTCGTCCTTGTCTAAGAGGTAGCAGCAGCGACAGCGCCCACCTTCTGAGCAGCTTCTTTCTTGGCATGATGAGCCTGAAGGACCGCCACAGCCTCATCCACCTGTGAGAAATGTCCAGGTGGTCAGCAACATCTGAGGAGAGCCCCTCCACCCCTCCCTGGAGCCAGGCCCAGTGGGGCGTCTCCTGGTGCTGACCACCTTCCCAGATCCCCACAACCCAGCAGTCCTTAGGTCACAGGTGAGGCACAAGGAAGTGGTCATGGGGGTAGCAGACTCCTCTCTGCCACTCCTGGGTGTTCCAGGCCACCCCTCGCCCTCCTTAACCCAGTAAGCAGAGGCCACAGGCTCTGAGAACCCGCCCACCTTGGAGCGGAGAGACTCGGGGGACTCCAGCATGTGCAGCAGCTCCGAGTTGTCGATCTCCAGCAGCATCCCAGTTATCTTCCCAGCCAGGTTCGAGTGCATTGTCTGGATGAGTGGGAACAGACGTTCACCTGTGGGAAGGTATTCCATGAAAAACCCAGTGGAACCCCAGTAGAGGATGGATGCTGGCGTCTAGGTCAGTAGTTCAGTGTCACCCCCACCCCCACTTCTGCAAGCACATGGCTCCCTCACCCAGCATCTGCTTCTGCTCCTGGGGGGGTGCCGCAGCCAGCATGGAGGCGGTCAGTGGCTCCTGCCCCTGCACGTGGACCGCAGGCTGGGGTGCCTGGGAACCAGGAGAAGCGGCAGGTTAACACGTGGAAAGGACAGTGACAGTGGTCATGAGGCCCCCGCAAGTCTACGGAGTGAAAGAGGAGATGGAAGCAGTCGTCCTTGCTGTCGGGGAACTGACTTCAGTCTTGGCGGACTGAGAGAGGTAGAGAGTGGTGTGAGGAAAAAAACCACAACCAACTGAAATGGCATACTACTCGAAGGGAAGGGAAATGATTAAGAAAAACCTACAGTGCTAGGCAGTCATCTACCAAATGATTTTAATTGACTCAAGGCCAGTGATCATAATTACCAAAAGCATCGAAGCCTTGATGATAAACAAGGTCCTGTGAACACTGGTATGTGCAGTTGTCTGCTGAAAGTTTTCCTTTAGGGGTGAACTCCCAGTAGAAACTGGGTCAAAGGACAGAAATGGCAAAATGCTTATAATTGCATCCTGTATCTCCCTTACTGCACACCACGTATTTATTATATCAAATGCTTGAGGACCGTCAACACACAGTCATTTAAAAGAAGGGCCTTGTAGACAAAAAATATTTCACACAGGGCCTTCTGGGAAATTTCCAACCTAGAGCATGGAGCAGGAGGGAACAAGCCCCAGCACCTCTGCCCCAGGCAAACTGCAGAGTTCCATCACAAGCTCCCTGTCTGTCCTGCCTGAGGGGCCCAGCTCTAAAGACAGCAGTTCTAGCTCAGAAAACCTGGGATCAGGGTCCAATTCCTCCAACCCAACCTAACCTAATACCTCTGAAGCCAAGCCTTTCATCTTTAAGATGTTCACCCCATTACCTTGCAGAACAACTAAGGATCAACTCAGCCGCTGGATGTGAAAGTGAAATGGAAGCTCAGAGCTGCGAGAGCCCCTGCACATGGTGAGGAGGAGAGCAGGAAGCAGGCTTCTCTGCTGCCGAGTCAACTCTCCTCAGGAAGAACACCTGCAAGCCCCTTCTCTCCCACTAGAGTCCCCCACTGGACACAGCCCCCTGACACAGAGCAGGCATTTAATACCTATGAAAGGAATCCAAGTAAGGCAGCTCTTAAATCATGTGGAGACAGGGGACACCCTTCTAGGGTTCTGCGCAATGGGCCTCACCTGCAGGGGCTGGATGGCAGGGTGAGGACTGCGGACGCTGGAGGCGTATTTGTAAGGTGCGACAGCCCGAGGAGCAGCGGCAGCAACAGCCGCCCGAGGCGCTAAGGTCTGCACAGCTGTGGGAACACCTTAGGAGAGGGACAAGTGAAATTAAAGCCCAACGGTCTGGGCAAAGACCCGTCAAATCCCATCTTTCCCCATTCTCTGTGCATCCAATACCACCTCCAGACTGGCAGCTGTCAGTCAGCCCTTGCTGGGCGGCACCAGCCCCACCAAAGTCCATAGCCAAGCGGTCCGGGCACTCAGACCCTACAACAGACCAGCAAATGCACATCAGTGTTGGCGGCAGATGTCCAACTGGCCACGTCCCACGGAAGGAGCAATTCCAAAGCATGTTCACACAGCACACAGCACACATGGGGCCACTAGCGCTACTTTCGAGGAAAAGCCAACAGATAACATACAACTCTTGCCACCTCTTGGTTGGAATATAGGACATAATCTGCAAAGAAGTGCCTTGAACCTCCCAACCCCACCCAAAGAACAGGCTGCCTCTGCAGTCATTCAGCTAACACATCCTACACTTAAACTTTTTCACACAGAGTCACCGATGCGGCAAAGGATCTTAAAAGGAACCAACACTCAGAACACAGGTTGTTTTCCTGCTGCTCAAGTACCTACCTAAGCACACAGCTAAGATTACAGAACCAGGACCGGACAACACGGTGAGCCCAACGAACGGACCAACCCTGGGCAGAGCCTAGTCGTCCTGACTCCCTCCTCCCCGGGCCACACTTCAAGGCCAGTTTGCTCACCGACTCTCTGAGCGGTAGTAGGGAGGCCGCGAGAGGCCGGAGCATTACCAGTTGGAGCCAGATGGCGAAGAGCTGGACGAGGCCCAGACTGGCGTATAGCACTTGGCATTCCTTGGAAGCCTGGTGAAGAGACAAAAATCACACATTACTAGTGAACGACATGGACCAAACCTAGGCTGTACCCCAGAGCAGGCAGGGAGGGGAGGTGGGGGAGCCCAGGACAGGTACATCCTGGGGGATCAGATCACTGTTCCCCACCACCTACCTTGAGGTCTCCCACCTTGCTGCCAGCGTGGATTAGGCCTCATCTGTGCTAACTGGTTAGGTGTGTAATATGGAGGTCTTCCCTGAGCCTGGAAGAAAGAGCAATCAAGCCCTTTTATTTAAGGACCTGAAGCCACACTAGAGTAGTATCTCATCTCATCTCCGTATCAGGCTCTAGGCTGATTATTTGGGACAGAGGCACTCTCTACTCAAGGGCGTGGGTGAGGGGCAGTCAGGTAACAGCGATTCTTCTACTCTACCCTTGCCACTGTGTGTGCATGCCCACGAGTAAGTCCTTCCTTGTTTTACTTGAAGGATCTTTACTCTGACATTCTAAAGCTCCAATATCCAAAAGTCCATCTCCCCCACCACTGTGGACGGTAGGAGCAGCTGTCAGCAGGTAGGTTCCAAAGAGGCACGAACAGACAGCAGACCCACCTGTGGAACTGCTGGCACGAAGTAGCCCCCAGCTGCAGGCTGGAATTGATTTAAGATGGCATTAGCAGGCAGTGCCCGCATCCCGGCCACCCGCTGCATATACTGGTTGGTCAGATGAGCTTTCCTCTCCTCCTTTCTCTGGGCCAGAGCGACATACAGTGGCTTGGAGCCCACAATGCGTCCATTCATCTCCGTGACTGCTTTGGTTGCCTCTTCAGGGGATGAGAAGCAGACAAAGCCAAATCCTTTGCTTCTCCCATCCTCTAGCATCACCTACAAAACGAGACCAACCACTTAGGACAAAGGTGTCCATGTGTTGAATCCTGGGCTCCCCACTGTGAGAGTTGCCAGGTCGAGTCAGGGCATCTCAGCCCTGTGCTATAATGGACCCCAGACCAACTGAGTCACCAGCTCTAAGGGAGGACCTAAGCATTTTGCTTTTTTAGATCCCCAAGTGACTGAAGTTCCCAAATATTGTGAGATGCCGAAAGGCTGAAGCAGGAACCCAAAGATGTTTTCTGAAACCCAGAAGTATAGCTATCTCCAGGAACTCAGAGATCTGGACAGCAGCGTCAAGCAATTTATCTGTAGAACTCATCTGCCCAACATCTTGGTGAACTGAACTTCAGGAGTTGTAAAATCAATGTGTGCCACCCTCAATTCAATGGGAATAAACACAGCAGGACAACCAGCCAGGAGACAGGCAGCTGGACTCAAGCCCTGCTCTGTAATCTCTATGCTATACTGCTTAAAAAAGAAAGGGAAAAAAAAAGGCTTTTTCCTTGCCTGAGGAGCTCATTTCTTGCTTTTCCCAGCCTCTCTCCTCAGAAACACTGGGAGCAATGTGACCATGTGGGCTTGGATCATTAGCTCACACCCTGGAGAATCTCCTAAAGAGAAGGCCTGGGGAGTAAAGACATGTAACCACCCAACAACTGTCTACCAACAAGGTGGACCAATAATGCATGTGAAAGTACTGTGACATCTTCATCTTGGAAATGGCACCCAGGAAGCTTCAAGATACGGTGCTTCTGCTCTCTTCTTGCAAATACCATCACAACTCCTGTGCTGGTCAGCTAGAAGAGACTCGCTATCATTCGTTACACTGCTGGAGGCCCATCAAGAGGGTGATAAGAGGGAGGGGGCAAGGAACTGAGGAAATTCCTGAGGGTGGCCTCTGGCCAACACCCTGCTACCACTGATAATGCTCCTGGACTGTGAGTGACAAGCTAAGGGCCAGGGCAGGGTTGCCAAATCTTTACTGGCCCACTGGCCTCCCTTCTTGTCATCTGAAGGACTCTGTGATGCGGGCTGCACCTCTGTGAATTGGGAACAGAGTCTGTACGAGGCTCTGCCCCAAACTTTCAGACACTACCAGTTCCCACCACAAACCCAGAGCACTTAGGACATGTGGTGTGACATCTTCACCTAACCAGTATGCTCTTGCTAAAGGACTCAACTCCTTATTTTTACAAGGGGGTTTGCACTTACTCCCCCTGGCTAACTCAGTTGATATAATTAACAAGGAAAATCAAGCAGATGCAAAACACAAAAAAACAAACTTTCCACTCTCCCCTCCTTAAGAGACCCCATTCCAAAATCCTCAAAACACCTTCATTTGAGAAGTGTGGCAGAGTTGTAGAGACAGGCCCCAAGACAAATGGAAAACAGCCTGTCTGGATTTCCTCTGCTCATACTGTAGCACCATCTGTCCCCACACCAGCACGAAGCAGCAGAGAATGGGAAAGATTCAGGTGCTCTCGGGGGCAGGAAGAGAGGGACTGAGTCAGGTTCATCTCCACATCCCAGTGCCTGGCAGACAGTGCAGACAGTTAACCCCATGACTGCCCTTCTCCAGAGCATATACTCAGATGGTAAGTGAATCCAGGAGAAATTCCTAGGCCAATGTGGTAGCTACTCTCAGAAATGAAAAAAATTTAGATCCTATCCCTTCAATGAAATAAATGCAATAAACTTCTACAGGATTATAATGTGTTTTCAATCCCCGAATCTCACTATCAAATACCTTAGCACTGGTGATTGATCCAAAAGGAGAAAACTCTTTTCTTAACTTCTCGTCATCAATGGTGTCATCCAAGTTCTTAATGTAGAGATTCACCCCCTGAAGCAGAAAGATCTCTGTTACACATGCCTTAAAACTGTGGTTCTCAAAATTTGATCCCCAGACTCGTTAGAAATGAGAATTTTCAGCCAAGCACCTGCCACTAATGAGGCACAAGCTGTGCGCCCAGCTCTGTTTCCCTAAGCTCTGCAGGGGATTCTGATGCAGGATTAAAGCTGAGGAAGGACTGCCTGAAGACTGGACAGGACCATTGATGCAGTCCCAGCCTTCCTCGCAGCTGCTCAGGCTGACCACTGACCCCAGCAGGGCTCTCTCTGCCACCATTCCAGACAAATGGCTATCATTTAAGTAAACAGAACCTCAAGACTAAGAACAGACCGAGGCTTCCAGAACAGAGTCCCTAAACAAATAATGTAAATCTTCGTCCCTGTCCTGGAATTGCTGCTATATCTGGTAGGTATATCCTTTTAAACCTGATCTTGGGAGAAATCAGAAGAGCAAACACATGGTCCCCAAAGAGAAAGCCTGCCAGTTAAAGGGTGCTTTGGCCAATACTGTGAGGTACATCCCTGCTGGTAGGCTGGGCGGAGCCCACCTCTCACCTGATAGCGACTGATCCTCTCCTGCTTCAGCTGTTCAAACTTCCGCTTTAACTCGGCCTGCCGCTCCACTTTCTTCTGTGCACGGCCAACGAAAATGACCTTCCCGGTGATTTCTTTTCCATTCATCTCTTCTACAGCCTGAAGAGGAAATACATGACTTTAAACCAAGATGCAGAGGCAGGGGCCTCGCTCCAGAGGTCTGTTAAGTCCCACCAAATATTCTGAGAGAAAGAAATCTTCCCTATAGGGCTAAAAACTAATTTCCCTCTGAAGTCACCTAAGCCAATCCAAACCTTCTCATCAGTAAAGTAGGGTTAATAATTAAATGGGTCATTGGTCAAGATAATACAGTGAAAAAATCGTACAGCTGTATAAATACAAACACAGCAGACATGAGCCTAGGCTGATAATTTGGCTGTCACTCCATTTCTCAGGTTCTTTCGAGGATACTGAGTGTTGAGGGCCGAGTACAATGCTTTCCCCAGGAGTGGCTACTGCTCCCAGATCGGCAACTCTGGGCTCTTGGTTCCCTCACCTACAAGTGGGAACAAATCCCTGCCTTATACTTTCAACCTACAGGCCTGAAGAGCTGGGATGACGGGCACATGCCAAATGCTTTGAAAAGTTATGTGAAATGCCTCAGGAAGGTTAACTCCAGAGCACAGAGACTGCACATAACTACTAGATTCTCAGGGAATGCCAGCTCCACCCTATGTGATGGTTAAGACCCTGCCCGCACGCTGGGGTCACTCCCTACAAATTTTCCCCAACCCTCATGTTACTCTCACCTTATTGGCATCCTCGTGTTTTTCGTAACTCACAAAGCCAAAGCCTTTGGATTTCCCACTGGGATCTCTCATCACCTTGACACTTAGGGTCTTACCTATTGCCAAAGGACAGAACTATTAGTAACAGCATCTCTACCACAGCTCAAAGAGAGGCTTCTTTGGGAGCTCACTTGAAGCTCCTGCTGAGGCAGACAGAGTCAAGAGGCACCATTTCTGGCCTTCTAATTCTGACCAAGCTGCTGAGATGGTCTTGGGAATGGGACAAAATCGGATGAAGCCAAGAGCTGAGGCCTGGGGTCTATTCCTATCTACCCTGTGGCCTTTGTCATATAAGGCATTTTACTTCTGGGTCTAGATGCCCACATCTCTTAAATAAGTAAAAAGATGAATTCCAGGTCTGGTGGGACACAGCGGGGCAAGGGACCCTGACTTACCAAACTGGCTAAATAGCTCTTTCAGATTTTCATCATCAACCTCTTCCCCGAAGTTTTTGATGTAAACATTGGTGAATTCCTTGGCTTTGGCTCCAAGTTCAGCTTCCCGCTCTTTTCGAGACTTGAATCTGCCCACAAACCTAAAAAGAAACCATGAAAAATACTGATTACTCAGAGGAACAAAACATGATTTCCAGGGGCCCAAAGATTAAAGGCTGACAGGAGAGGTTAAAACATGAGTCCCCCTCCAACCACCAAGAGAGCAAGCTCAGAGATGCCCCAACTCCCCAGCAGAAAGAGAAAGAGGCGGGACTATCCTTCAAGGATCAGCCCCAGGGCTCCTGGCTCAGGCCAGGGCCCCTCCTACCACATCACACTGCCTTCGTGAAGAAACCTGATGACCATGTTTTTAAAACGTTCATTTCTGTACATCTATGTAAATGCATAGAAAAGGTCTGGAAGGATACAAACCAAACTGTTAACAGTGGTTAATCCTAGGAGTGAGATTGTTGGAGTGAACCAAAAGGCAGCCTTTGTTTTTCACTGTATTCATTTTGGTGCTTACGCTTAACTGGAAAAGGTACCCTTACATTAAAAATCTTTTAAATTTCTTCCTAGTGATATCCTTAGAAGATTTGACCACTGGGCACAAACACATCATCAATGCAACCCATTCCCTAGTCTGTTCAATAACACAAAGGACAGAAAAGACTTTTACTGGTCATAACGAAGATTTACATTATGGTCCCTTCTCTCTGTATGACTTAACTAAGATCCCCATCTCTCCATTCTAAGGTAACCACACCAAAGCAACGTGGTCTATTATGAACAATCTTCTGCACTGGGATGAGATTTTTCACTGTAAAAGTACTACTGTGGAGCCAGCCTAGTATTTTGAAGGCCACTGAGTCATAAGTTAGCCAAGTGGAGGGGACAATTTGGCATCAACTCCTAGCGAGTGACCCCGTGGACAGACCTGAGTCATGGAAGGTCAAGGTCACGTGGCTAGTACACAGCTTCTGGTCAGTCCAGGGCCCTCTCCACTCTGCCGCTGGCCAAGACCCCTGCTCAGAGTGGGCTCAAGAGCTGCCTTCCAGCCAGCCCCTGTTGCCAATGCTCACAAAACCCACAGACGGATGCTTCTAAGGGAGAGGCGGCAGGCCGGCCATGGCTTGGGCTGGAAGCCCACCTTGGCGAGTCAAAAGGGCTGCCACAGCTCAGGCAGGGAGACTCACCAGCCCTGGAGTGGAGAGGTAGGAGCAGGCCACACTTGGGCCGAGAGAACCAGTAGCCGCCTTGTGTGTGCCAGTTAATACCGAGGTGGGGCCACGGCTGGCTCATGCGATGGCTGTTGCTCCGGACTGGGACACTCACACTTTGCGGTCATTGAGGAGCATGCCGTTCATCTTCTCGATGGCCTTGTCGGCAGCCTCCTGGGTCTCGAAGTGGACAAAGGCATAACCCTTAGAGCCGTTCTCATCACACACCACCTGTCAAAGATAAGGCGGGCCACTTCAGCACCACTGCCCAGCTCCTAGGACTAGAGAGCCAGATGGGCTCCCGAGTCTTGAGAGGCCTCTAGCCTATCCAAGGTCAAAAGGAAGAAGATTACAGCAGGTACCTAGTGATGTTCCACTTACAAATGGTAGCCACCATAAGGCTGCATTCTATTCCAAAAGTTTTATTTCATTAAAAAAATATTTTGAGATCTGGGTACGAAACCACAAGGTTACAGAAAGACAAACCCTTTCCCAAGCCCACAACAGAATTTCAATCTAGTGTGGAGTCAGCTATGCAAACCACCACCACACAAGTTACACAAAATGCCCCCACAGAAACAGGTGCATGGAGAAGGAAGAGGGTGAATTCATGCTTCTAAAATGACTAAGTACAGCTTCCTGGAGACCAGGCATTGCTCGGGTACTTGCCACCCTCCCCTCCCAAGAGAACCTTTTGATGCCTTCCAAAGTTAGGAAACAGGAAGGATATTTCAGGCAGAAGGAAGAATAAACAAAAACAAGAAAGCACCTGCTGGTTTATGCTGGGCTGTGGCACTGAGATTATCTACAGGGAACTTTTAGACTTCTGAGCCATTCCCAGCATTTTGAAAATTATCATACCCGGCCGCCCAATTCCAAGGCAATTCCCCACTTAATATTTGTTTTTATGATTCAGTTAATTATTCTGCTGGAAATCATTTAATCAGTGTTTACCTTGCAGGACAGAATGTTCCCAAAAGCAGAAAAAGTATCATAAAGTGCCTTGTTATCTATAGATTTGTCCAGATTCTTGATGAAGACGTTTCCCACACCAGATTTTCTCAGAGACGGATCCCTCTGAGACCACATGATCCGGATCGGCTTTCCCTTAATTACATCAAAGTTCATGGTGTCCAAGGCCCGCTCAGCTGCAAAACAGAAACACATTCTCATCGAGGATATAAAACATTACCTTGCGTACTTAAATGACTGTCACCATCCTAGGAACAGATAGCTCCAAGACTTTTCAAGGTAAGCACTCTGATACAGGGAACTCTATTAAAATTAAACTACGTCCGTTTCCTCTAGCCTGCAACACTACTGATGATAGAAGTTCTAGCAGATCGTCTTCCTTCATGGCAGAGGTCTCAGTCCCTCTGGGGTAAGGCAGTTAGGCAAGATAATCTAAATGCATTTATGGCACCAGGATCAAATGATTACACTTTACATTTGATTAAGCCTTATATCATCTAGAGAGACTTTGCAGCCTATGCGGCCTACTACCCACAGGGAGGGAGGTGAAACAAGTGAAATGATCCATCTTATCCAATGGACAAACTTATGATCAGGATGGCTAAACAGTATAGCTAACTGCCGGTTAAGAAACCAATGGCAGACTTTCTGATTATTTTTCAGTGACATATTGCATCAGTGTTATCAACTAGCTGTCACTTAGTTTACAACTCGTCTATTGGACGAATGACTAAAAAAAATCCTGTGAACAATCAACTGGGGAAAATGTGTTATCTCTGAATTCAGTCCAGTTTCCTGTATTTTCAATTTCTGGGAAAATTCAGACAAAAAACCTTAATTATCAGAATGATGGTCACACATGGAAATGTTCTATTATCAGAATGAGAAGGATGAAACTGCAACACCTCGCTACCTAAGTTGCCAGCACAGGCAGGCCCTGCACCTAGGGGTTTCTAGGCTATCTGAAGCCTACGTCTGAGTTCCAAGGAATTCCAGGAATTTCATATGTCCCAGTGCCCAATCAAGTTCTCAACCCAGTGCTTTGGGATGCTCCTTCACTTCTCAACCAAATCCAGGTATACACCATCTGGCAGCAGAACACTTCTCTATACTGGCAGTAAACAATTCAGACCCACTTTTCCTGACTTATGCACTGACACCACCCAGAACCTCCCCCTCCAGGAAGGGATGGGGGTAGGGGGTATTACCCTTGCCTCAAGGCACCATCTCACTTAAAACAGAGACAAGATCCCTAACTCCACCCCTCCACAAGCTCATCTGTCCAGCCAGCCAGCAGAGTAGCTCCTTTTCAGCACTTCCAACCCCCTTTCCCACTGTTCTCAGCTAGATTCGTCAGCATGAGGGAGGATGGTCAGGCAAAGAGGAGACGGCAGGTCCAAGTCAGCAAGTGTCCAGGAAAGAAGTGCTCACTTGTGAGACTCTGATCCACAGCCTGTGACCCCAAACTGTGTTTCATGAATTAGCAAGGAAGAAGCCCATTTCAACACGGCTCCTGCCTATTTCCAGACAGCACTGCACACGGCAAGCCGGCTTAGTCTGACAAATCTGGCTGCACTTATTTATAGCAGGAGAGGTCCTGCAGAGCTATGTGCTGGCAGACACACTAACCAATGGCTTGTGCTACCGTCTCTAAGTGACAGGACTTTTGCTCACAAGAGTCAAGGAGGCTGACAAGAACCCAAGGGCCCACTGCTCCCCCTAAAAAGGCCACACTCAGCTACTTCCTTGTGCCCTGTGGCCAGAAAAAAGCCCAGACCCCACTGAACTGACCGGAGCAGTGCTGTGTCTCTCAACAAGTCCACTTCTCCGGTCTCAGCTGCATCCTGGGCAAGTGACATTCCGTGGGTTTCACAGACAGTGGACCAAGTGGGGGCAAAAATAGGGACCTGGAGATCCTCTGCCTCAGGATGGTTTCTTTCTCCCAGGAATGGTCTGTCTACAGTTGTTCCCTTCTGTTCTGGAGTCACGTGCAGCCCCCGATTAGGTTTCTTCTGGCCTCACTCAGGCCAGGCCTGCAGCATACCTCAACATGCTCCAGCCCCAGTTAGGGCTGGCAGAGCACTGCACCCACAGTCCCAGCTTAGCCTCCAACCTTTCGCAGTTCCTTCTCCTCTTCGGAAGTCCTATCTCTTTCAGATGAGATGAAGTGAAAGGGTTTTTGACAAGTGTAAAGCACTGTCCGCCAGGTGAGGTGATAATCCCCAACAGCCTAGCGGATTTCCAAGGGGTGCTTCCCTGACTACCTGCGCAACCTGCTCCAAAGCCCAGGGAGCTGGCCTGGCACCACATACTCTGGTGGTGCTAACACAGGTACCTGCTCAAGTTCAGCGCACAGAATTGTTCCCCGGCCTCCTACCTGCCCTGAAAGATCCCATCAGCACAAAACCAAAGACTCTGAAGCTTAGGGTCAAGTGAGGGGAGGGGACAGCAGTTCTGCCATGTGAAATGTTGGAAGAAATTGTGTTCCGATCATCCTGCCTTTTCCTCAGGCCTGTGAGGGGCCGAAGCCCCTGGCCAATAAAGGCTCTCTTAACAGAGCAGCCCCCCATCACACACATACACACACACACACACACACGGAATGACAGCAACTTCCTTCTGGTCCTCCTTGGGCTCCAACACCCCCTCCTCCCACCACTGATTAGCCCAAGGTCACCCAGTTAGCAAGCGGGGGAAGCAAGACTGAAACTCTGGTGATCTGATGCCAGGATTCCGGGGGCTCAATCCCCGCATGCCGTCAGCCACTACGGCTTCTGTGCGCTGTGGCGATGCCCCCTTCACGGGGGTGGGGACCCGCCTGGAGAAGGACTCCCAGGATCTCCTGGGAGCCCACAGGTTTGTGGCCACAGCTTGGACTCACCGTCAGCCGGCTGCTGGAAGTTGACGTAGGCATAACCCAGGGAGCGGCGGGTGATCATATCGCGGCAGACCCGGATGGACAGCACAGGCCCCGCAGGACTGAACTTTTCGTACAGCATGGCCTCGGTGACGTCCGAGTGCAGGTCACCCACGTACAGGGAGGCCATGGGGTAGCTGCTGGCCGCAGCGTTCATCTCCCCAGCCCCCACCACCCCGAGCCCCGCCAGGAGGACTTCTTAAGAGGAACCGCACAGGACAAAGGGGGCTCCGCTCGGAGCCGTGGCCCACGCCGCGGCTCACAGGTGGCAGTGAAGCTCGGAGAAGCTGGGAGTCGCCTCCGAGGGCCGGAGAGGAGTTCGGGGACGGTTCGGACGAGACTGCCAAACCGCAGACAAAAGGCTCTCAAAAACAATATGGCCCTCCCTGGGAGTTTGTAATTTTTTCAGCTGTCCTGGTCTGAAGCTCCCAATTTCAAAAAAAAAGGGAAAAAATTAAAACGGGGACTCCCCTCCGAATGACAAAAAAATTTCCAGAGGCAACCCAGCAGTGCCCACGGCAGCCTCCGGGACGCGCGTTTCTGTATAAATATAGGCCTCGGGCTCCCGGCGGTTTAAGATTACAGCAGCCCGGGGAAGAGGGAAACCAAATATTTGTCGGTGCCGACTCGGCAAGCCCCGGGCGGCCCGAGCGCGCAGCCGCCTCCCACGCCGGGCCGGCGAAGGGCAGCGCGGACACGTGGTGCGGGGAGGCCGGCGCGCGGGGGGCGAGGGCGGCGGGCGCGGGGCTGCCACGCGGCGCAACCGGGAGGCGGCGCGTGGACGCGGGCGCGCGGGCGGCTCACCACCGGACCGACGGACGGGTACCGACAGACGCCCAGGTGCGGCGGCGGCGGGCAGGCCGGAAGCGTGCGAAAGTGACTTCCCCGCGGGTTCTCCGAAGCGGATTCGTTTTTTTCTTTTTCTTTCTCTCTTTTTTTTAAATTTTAAAGCGTTTTCGGGTTTTTTTTATCTTTTTCTTTTTTTTTTTTCCTTCAGGCTACTAGGCCCGAAAGTGGTGGAGGCTGCGGCGACCCGGGGCGGAGAGAGGCGGCCGGGGGAGCCACCGCTCCATTTATACCCGCCCGCCCCGGGCGCTGCTGGTCGAAGGGCGCCTCGCGACCTGGGCGCAGTCGTGCCCGCCCACTCGGCCCGGGGGCCCGAGGCGGGGCGGCCACACGAGAGCGTCCCAGCGCGGCCGCTCGGAGCTACAGCGACCCCTGGCGCTCGGAGGACCACTCCGCTGGGGCCTCGGCCGGACCCAAGCGCAGCTTTCCCTACGGAAGGCTGGAGTGTAAACCACCTGCTCGTCTGCGACTAGAACGCAAGGATAATGTCACCCGCTAGCGGGCATCATGTTTGTAATCAATGTCTTGCCGAGGTGTAAAATAAAGATGACATAAAGTAAATTATAGTTACATAATAGGTGCTCCATGTAAATTATTGGGCCAAAATAAAGGAGAAGACATTCAGATTTTAGATTACTGGGACCTAAAGATAGACGCATCGGGAACACGACAGCTACTCCTGAAGTAGTACCCGTGGGTGATGAGATGCTCTGGAAAGATGAACAAATTCTGGAAAAGCTTCAATAAAACAAGATATAATCATCCCTCTATTTACAAGGTTGTGGTCTTCCTGGAAATTTAGTTGATATTTAAGGACACAGAATCTGTCCTGTTCCCATGTAAAAGGGAGTCACAGTCTAAGATCTGATCATTATAAAAAGAGTTTTCCTCTGCATGAGGATTCAGCAGGTCCTTTGAAAGTCATGCAGTACATGGGACAAATCTACCCCATGTGGGACTGTCCCTGTGGACATGGTGTGGTAAAATATAATCCCTTCTTCCATAAATTCAAGGAACCACCCTCACCATCACTGTGATCACCGAAAACTGGACATTACTAAAAGGCACACAGATGATCCCATTGAAAACCATTGATTTGATTAAATGAATGAGGAGATAATAGTATTTATATATTTACTCAAAGAAATGGGCTCACTCTATGTCAACATCAGATAAAGGTGCTAGGGGATACCATGGCAGACAAGGCAGATGAGTTCCCTCTCTCCCTCTTGACATTTATACTCTAGGTAATGTATTAAATCAAGAGACATTTATGGAGCACTCCATCTGTAGATAGATCCCCTCTTGAGGGAAGCCTTCCTAGACCACCAAGTCATTTAAAGTAGTACATCTCAGCACACCATTCTGTCTTCTTATCTTCAAGGCTCATTATCTGAAATCATGTCATTCACATATGTGTTTGCCTGTTTGGTTCCTTTCCCGCTATAAGAATGCTTCATGAGAGCAGAAACATGGACCAGTACCTACATGGCACACACTAAATAATAAATATCTGTTAAACAAATGAATACCATAAGCAAAGCTTGCATAGTCCCTAACCTTCTGTAGCAATCTAGTGGGAAACTTACTACCTGTGTGACCTTGAGCAAACTAGTTTACATCTCTGACTCAGATTTCCAGTCTGTTAGTAAACTAATGGGCTTCCATGGTGCCTCAGATGGTAAAGAATCTGCCTGCAATGCAGGAGACCTGTGTTCAAGCCCTAGGTTGGGAAGATCCCCTGGAGAAGGGAATGGCAACCCATTCCAGTATTCGTGCCTGGAGAATTCCATAGACAGAGGAGCCTGGTGGGCTACACTCCACAGTTGCAGAGTCAGCTATGACTGAGCAATTCAGGGTGGGAACACAGCCCCACCCATCAGCAGAAAATTGGATTAAATATTTACTGAGCATGGCCTTGCTCATCAGAACAAGACCCAGTTTTCTGCACAGCCAGTTCCTCCCACCAGGAAGCTTGCACAAGCCTCTTATCTTCATCCATCAGAGGGCAGACAGAATAAAAACCGCAATCACAAAAAACTAACCAAAATGATCACATGGATCACAGCTTTGTGTAACTTAGTAAAACTATGAGCCATGCCATGTAGGGCCACCCAAGATGGACTGGTCATGGTGGAGAGTTCTGACAAAACATGGTCCCCTGGAGAAGGGAATGGCAAACCACTTCAGCATTCTTGCCTTGAGAACACCATGAACAGTATGAAAAGGCAAAAAGATATGACACTAAGAGATGAACCCCCAGGTCAGTAGATGTCCAATATGTTATTGGAGAAGAGCAGAGAAATATCTCCAGAAGGAATGAAGAGGCTGAGTTAAAGCGGAAATGATCCCCAATTGTGGATGTGTCTGGTGGTGAAAGTAAAGTCTGATGATATAGGAACACAGAATGTTAGGTCCATGAATCAAAGTAAATTGGAAGTGGTGAAACGAGATAGCAAGAGTGAATATTGACATTTTAAAAATCAGTGAACTAAAATGGACAGATATGGGTGAATTTAATTCAGATGACCATTATATCTACTATTCTGGGAAAGAATCCCTCAGAAGAAATGGAGTAGCCCTCACAGTCAACAGAAGAATCTGAAATATAGTACTTGGGAGCAACCTCAAAAACGGAAAGGCAAACCATCCAACATCACAGCAATCCAAGGCTATGATCCCACCACTAATGCCAAAGAAACGGAAGCTGAACAGTTCTGTGAAGATCTGTAAGACTTTCTAGAGCTAATACAAAAAGAAAAAGTCCTCTTCATCACAGGGGACTGGAATGCAAAAGTAGGAAGTCAAGAGATACCTAGAGTAACAGACAAATTTGGCCTTGGAGTGCAAAGTGGAGCAGGGCAAAGGCTAACAGAGTTTTGCCAAGAGAACGCACTGGTCATAGAAAACACCCTCTTCCAACAACACAAGAGATGACTCTACACATGGACATCACCAAAATCAGAGTAATTATATTCTTTGCAGCTGAAGAAGGAGATATAGAGCTATACAGTCAGAAAAAACAAGACTGGGAGCTGACTGTGGCTCAGATCATGAACTCCTTGCAAAATTCAGACTGAAATTGAAGAAATTAGGGAAAACCACTATACTATTCAGGTATGACCTAAATCAAATCCCTTATGATTATATAGTGGAAGTGAGAAATAGATTCAAGGGATTAGATCTGATAGACAGAGTGCCTGATGAACTATGGATGAAGGTTTATAACATGGTACAGGAGGCAGTGATCAAAATCATACCCAAGAAAAATAAATGCAAAAAGACAAAATGGTTGTCTGAGGAGGCCATACAAATAGCTGAGAAAAGAAGAGAAGTAAAAAGCAAAGGAGAAAAGGAAAGATATACCCATCTGAATGCAGAGTTCCAAAAAATAGCAAAGAGACATAAAGCCTCCTTAAGTGACCAATGAAGAGAAATAGAGGAAAACAATAGAATGGGAAAGACTAGAGGTCTCTTAAAGAAAATTAGAGATACCAAAGGAATATTTCATACAAAGATGGGCACAATAAAGGACAGAAACAGCAAGGACCTAACAGAAGAAAAAGATATTAAGAAGAGGTGGCAAGAATACACAGAAGAACTATACAAAAAAATGTCTTAATGATAACCACGATGGTGTGATCACTCACCTAGAGCCAGACATCCTGGAGTGTGAAATCAAGTGGGCCTTAGGCACAAAGCTAGTGGATGTGATGGAATTCCAGCTGAGCTATTTCAAATCCTAAAAGATGATGGCTTGAAAGTGCTGCACTCAATATTCCAGCAAATTTGGAAAACTCAACAGTGGCCACATGGCTGGAAAAAGTCAGTTTTCATTCCAATCCCAAAGAAGAGCAATGTCAAAAAATGTTCAAATTACCACACAATTGCACTCATTTCATGAGCTAGCAAAGTATTGTTCAAAATCCTTCAAGCTATGCTTCAACAGTGTGTGAACCGAGAACTTCCAGATGTACAAGCTGGATTTAGAAAAGACAGAGGACCCAGAGATAAAATTTCCAGCATCCATTGGATCATAGGAAAAGCGGGGGAATTCCAGAAAAACATCTCCTCCTGCTTTGTTGACTACGAGAAAGACTTTGACTGTGTGGATCATGACAAACTGTGGAAAATTCTTAGATCTGGGAATATCAGACCTTCTTACCTGTCTCCTGAGAAACCTGTATGCAAGTCAAGAAGCAACAGTTAGAATCGGATATAGAACACTAGACTGGTTCAAAATTGGGAAAGGAATATGTCAAGACTGTATATTGTCACCCTGCTTATTTAACTTACATGCAGAGTACATCA